AGGAGGAGGAGGAAGGGGGATGAAAGGGAGAAGGAATGAGGTGGAGGAACGGGATGATAATGTAGTAGGAGGAACGAGAGGAGAAGTACGTAATGGGAGGTGGACGTGCATGAGGGGGGAGGATGATTTGACGCCTGTCGCCCTCTTTATGCCTTCTTGCCCTGGTCGCCGCGGCTGGTTCTCCTTGACATTATGGGCAGAAAGCGCCCCAGTCGAGGCGCAGGGGCAGACTTTCGGGAGAAGCTGGAGGAGGAGGAGGAGGAGGAGGAGGAGGAGGAGCACCATAAGGGATATGACAGTTTATGATGACGATCGTGATGATGTTGTTGGCGATGGTGTTTCTGTTGATGATTATGTTTGTACTGTTGTTGATGCTGCTGATGCTGATAATTATGATCATTATGATGACGATAGTGGTTTCTCAGGATTATGTTGCTGCTGATGATGATGAGACTGACGACGATGATGAGGACGATGATCGAGATGACGATGCGGAGTGACGCTGATGTTGATGACGAGTATGATGCTGCAGATCATGATGACGATGCTGATGCTGATGACGATGATGGCAATAACGATGGTGATGGTGATTCTGATGACGATAATGATCACGACGGTGATGATGCATATTCGTAGGATGATGCTGATGTTGATGCTGATGATGACGATGACGATGCTGATGATGACGATGCTGATGCTGCTGCTGATGACGATGCTGACAACGACAATGACAATGACAATGACGTCAACGACGACGATGGCGACGATGGCGATGATTCTGATGCTGCTGCTGATGATGATGCTGATGGTGATGCTGATGATGAAGATGATGCTGACGATGACGACGATGATGATGCTGATGATGATGCTGATGAGGATGATTCTGATGCTGATGATGAAGATGCTGCTGACGATGATGATGATGATGATGATGATGATGATGATGATGATGATGATGATGATGATGATGATGATGCTGATGATGATGATGATGATGTTGATGATGATGATGATGATGATGATGATGATGATGATGTTGCTGATGCCGATGATGATGCTGCTGATGATGATGGTGATGATGACGATGATGATGATGCTGATGCTGATAATGTTGATGATGATGCTGATGATGATGATGCTGGTGACGATGATGATGCTGATGATGCTGATGCTGACGATGATGATGCTGATGATGATGATGATGATGATGATGATGATGATGATGACGATGCAGGTGATGATGCTGATGATGATGCTGATGATGATGTTGATCATCACGATTATGATGCTGCTGATGATGATGATGATGCTGCTGCTGATGATGATGATTATTACCATGATGATGCTGATGCTACTGTTACTGTTGCTATTGCTGTTGCTGATGCTGCTGATGATACAGAGGATGTTGATTATGATGATGATGCTGCTGCTGCTGCTGCTGATGATGATGATGATGATGATGATGATGATGATGATGGTGCTGATGCTGATCCTGATGTTGATGGTGATGGTGGTGGTGATTACGACGAGGGTGATGACGAGAAACCGAAGGATTGAGAGGCATGAGGAGGAGGAGGAGGAGGAGGAGGAGGAGGAGGAGGAGGCGGAGGAGGAGGAGGAGGAGGAGGAGGAGGAGGATGAGGAGGAGGAGGAGGAGGAGGAGGGAGGGGTGGAGGTGGAGGCAGATGGCGTCTGCCACGAGGAGCTTCTGCGTGATCCATCCTGAGTCCGAGTCTGCCGGCTCGGAGATCTCCTACGACCGCAGCTGCTTGAGTGTTCACGCCCATGGCGGCGCATCCCACGGACTGGAGGGGAGTAGGAATGACAGTGGAGGAGGGAGGGACCTCCCCCTCCTTTTTTACACGTTGTCCAGACAATTATAAAAGCTGTTGCGTCTATTCTCCTCCTCCTCCTTCTCCTCCTCCTCCTCCTCCACCTCCTTCTTCTCCTCCTCCTTCTCCTCCTCTTCCTCCTCCTCTTCCTCCTCCTCCTCCTCCTCTTCCTCCTCATCCTCCCTCGAAAGCGAGCTCCCTCCTCCTCCGCCTCTTCCGGGCTTTGGCTTCCAGCTGCGCGCTCCTGTGTCGGCCTCGTCGGAGGTGCGCACAGTTGCCATTTGCCTCGCTCTCCTTGTCGGATCGCGCTGCAGGAGAGGGTTAGGAGTCGATTTTGAGGGCGGCGGGAGGGAAGGCTCGCACAGCAGAGCGTTCGTCTGGCAGATTGTTGGTTCAACGCTTGTGGGAGATCTGGGCCGGTGGGCAGATCCTGTCTCGCCGCAGGCTGTTTTTGCCAGAACTCGCGCCGTAGTTCAAGTCCATGTCCACGAACGGGGGGTGAGATCTCGTGGAGCGGAAAGGGAGCGGAGCGGAGGGTAAAGACTGTAGGCGCCAGCGCGGCGGCGCCTGTCCTCTCCAGGGGAGTTCCGCTTCGACCGCGTGTTCGCGCCGGGCTCCTCGCAGGAGCTGCTGTTCGAGGAGGTGGCGCGCGAGCGCGTCACGGGCGCCATCGAGCACTTTACTGGCGCTCAAAGGCAAAGTTCGGGCGGGATAGGCTCAGGGGTGCGTGTCGATCCCCAGTCGCCCATCCATCGCCGTTTTTGGCCCGATAGCCCACCTCGCCCAGGAGCGTGCGCATTCGGTATCGGGGGCCCAGCGACTGGTGCCGACTTTTTAAGCGATGTATCGCCGATGCAAGCCCGAGGTCCCCCCCCCCCCGAAGGTGCCCTCCCCCCCCTGCCGTTGCACCTCAGGCGCGCTCTTCCTCGCGCTGGGGGCGTCTGGCAGCGGCAAGACGTTCACGGTGACGGGGGGCGCGAAGCGCTTCGCGGACCGCGGGCTCGCGCCCCGCAGCCTGTCCGCGCTGTTCGAAGTGCTGAGCCAGCACCCGGAGAGGGATGAGTTCGAGCTCTCGATCAGCTTCTACGAGGTGTACAAGGACACGGGCTGGGAGGGCAAAACCCTGGCGCTTGAAGCCTGCTGCCCTCTCCTGGCAGGGAGGTCTCCTCCTCCTCCTTCTCCTCCTCCTCCTCCTCCTGCTGCTGCTGCTGCTGCTGCTGCCGCCTCTCTCCTCTTCCTCGTCCGTGCGTGGGCACGGCGTCACCCGTCTGGCTACGGGCTATGGGGCATCGCGCAAGGAGTTCGCGCTGCGCAACACTTGAGGGATCCACGAACCAGGTGAGGAGCCTTCGTCAAAGTTTCTTCTGACGCGCGTGCAATACTTTCCTGTTGCTTGGCTGCAGCCACTACCTCCTGCACGTCCAGCTTGTCCTCCTCCTCCTCCTGCTCCTCCTCCTCCTTCTCCTTGTCCTCCTCCTCCTCCTCCTCCTCCTCCTCCTCATCGTACTCCTCCCTCCTCCTTCCTCCTTCCTGCTTCCTCTTTCCTCCTTTTGCCGCCTCGTCATTATCTTCCTGCCTCTACATGCCTCCTCCCCAGCGTCATCTCCCTCCTGCACGGCGGCGCCTGTGTGCGTGTAGAGAATCCGGCGCGACCAAGTTGGATTCCCCCCTGGGGGCCGTGGGCACGTAGAAAGAAGTGCCCCGCGCGCACGCGCCAGGCGCATGTTGTCCCCCCTAACCGCTCACGTATTTTCACGTCTATAGACTCTGCCGCGCCCAAGTTGTGTCCCCCCTTGGGGGGCCATGGACACGTCAAGATACGTAGCGCCCCGCAATTGCGGATAAGAGTGCGGGGGCGGGCGCACGTGGTGTGGGTCGCGGGTGAGTCGCAGGTGGGTCGCGGGTGGGTTGCGGATGGGTCGGCGGGTGTGTGGCGCGGTGGTGGCACTCCCTTGAACCAATGCAATTAAGCCCGGCGCAGGCTCCGATTCTTGTCTGGTTGTTATAGAATCAACACGTTGTGAGTCGCGGGGTGGGTCGCGGGTGGGTCGCGGGGTGGGTCGCGGGTGGGTCGCGGGGTGGGTTGGCTGCACTGGGTCGCGACGGTGGGTCGACGGCCGGTGGGGTCGCGGAGCTGGGTCGCGGCCAGTGGGTCGCGGGTGGGTCGCGGGTGGGTCGCGGGAGTGGGGTCGCGGGGTGGTTCCGCGGGCGGGTGGGCGAGGGCGGGTGGGTCGGGGTGGGTCGCGGGTGGGTCGCTGGGTGGGTCGCGGGAGGGTCGCGGCGTGGGTGCGGGTGGGTCGCGGGCTGGGTCGGCGGGTGGGGTCGCGGGTGGGTCCTGGGTGGGTAGGGGCTGGCGACGCGAAAAACAGAGTCACAACAACAACAACAACAACAACAACAACAACAATCATTTAAGACTGGGGACACTCCGTTCTCACCAGTGCCAGGGTTTTCATAGGAGGCGGGCAATACACCCACTTTGTGGGGGGGCCGGTTCAAGCTCTACCAAATTTCCAAACGACTCTTCGCCACCACCCACACCCAGCTTCCCGCCCTATGACGTTCGGACACTTCACTTCGTGGCATGCGGACGACAGTGGCTACTATTCAGGGCCCCGCGGCCGACGACGACGGCGTGCGCGCGCGAAGAAAAAACGAATGTGTCCAGCATGGTATTATTTGACAGGGATGATGGCCCTGGCAGGTGCGCAACCGTTGTTGCAGAAGTTCGAAAAAGTTGCTCGCAAAAGCCAGTTTGACAGAAATGTTTAAAAAGTGTTGGGTTTCCTACGAATCCGCAAGAGCGCGCGGGATGGAATTTTGACATTTTTTTTTTTTTTTTTTTTTTTTTTTTTTTGAAAAACCATTAGTTTTTTTTTTTTGTTTGTTTTTTGTTGTTTTTTTTGATGTTTTTATGTTACAATCGTTACGAAAACTAAGGTTTTGGAAGGATTTCGTCTTGCGCGCGCGAATGTCCACTTTACCTTTTTTTTGCAAGGGATTCTTGAAGTTTGGTTATGTTAGAACAAGAAATGTCCACTTTAGTTTTTTTTTTTTTTGCGAGGGAAAACCGATCGTAACAACACAACCGGATCCGGACCAACCCGTTTTGCCTGAGACTTCCTCACGAAAATGATGAAAATGAGGCTGCGGCCTAGGCGCGGCGGGGGGGTCGTGCACCAGGGGTCCCAACAATAATTATTCTTTAGAAGTAATAATGTTCAACAACAACAACAACAACAACAACAAACAACCACACCACAAACAACAACAACAACAACAACAAACAACAACAACAACAACAACAATTACTAGCACGTGGGGACACTCCGTTCTCACCAGTGCCAGGGTTTTCATACGACGCCCGCAATACCCCCACTTTGTGGGGGGGCCGGTTCAAGCTCTACCAAATTTCCAAACGACTCTTCGCCACCACCCACACCCAGCTTCCCGCCCTATGACGTTCGGACACTTCACTTCGTGGCCTGCGGACGACCGTGGCTACTACACTGGCGCATGGGTACAGTGACTTGTTGTGGTAAATTTTTGAAAATTCGTACAGATGTTTTTCGAGGACCTACGGTGCGATTCGTATGATTTTATGTTGCGCGGTGCTAAAATTCTTAAGAAACCCAATGGTTTTTGAAGATTTCGGCGTGCGCGCGCGAAGAAAAAACGAATGTGTCCCGCATGGTATTATTTGACAGGGATGATGGCCCTGGCAGGTGCGCAACCGTTGTTGGAGAAGTTCGAAGCGCGTGAAAAAGTTGCTCGCAAAAACCCGTTTGACAGAAATGTTTAAGAAGTGTTGGGTTTCCTACAAATCCGCAAGAGCGCGCGGGATGAATTTTTGACATTTTTTTTTTTTGTTTTTTGTTTTTGTTTTTTTTTTTTGTTGAAAAACCATTGTTTTTTGATGTTTTTATGTTTAAATCGCTACGAACACTAAGGTTTTGGAAGGATTTCGTCTTGCGCGCGCGAATGTCCACTTTACCTTTTTTTGCAAGGGATTCTTGAAGTTTGGTTATGTTAGGACAAGAAATGTCATTTTATATCGTTTTTTGCACGGGAAAGCGGGGGGGAACAAAACAACCGGATCCGGACCAACCCGTTTTGCCGGAGACTTCCTCACGAAAGTGATGAAAACATGGCTGCGGCCTAGGCGCGGCGAGGGGGCCGTGCACCAGGGGTCCCAACAATAATTATTCTTTAGAAGTAATAATGTTCAACAACAACAACAACAATGCAACAACGCAGCAAGCATAATCCGCAGCCACGCACCTAGGGATAATGAATGAACGTTCGGCCCCCTGACTCTGACATGCCTCGCTCGCACGCGCCAGCCGCATGTTGCCCCCCCGTCCGCGCACGTATTTTCATGCGTATAAAACCTGGCAGGCCCAAGTTTGGTCGTCCCGTGGGGGCTGTGGGCACGTGAAAATATTACATGCCCCGCGCGCACGCGCCAGGCGCATGCTGGGCCCCCCCCTCCGCGCACGTATTCTCATGTAAAGAATTCGGCAGGCCTAAGTGTGGTCCACCCTGGGGGCCGTGGAGACGTGACGACACGTGTCCCGCGCGCACGCGCTAGGCGCATGTTGGGCCCCCCCCCTCCGCGCACGCACATGTACGTGTGAAAAATCCGACGCGCCCTGATTTGGTCCCCCCTTGGGGGCCTTGGACATGCAAGTAGAAATATAAACAACGCTGCAACTCGCCTGGCAATCTGTTTCAGAATGGGCTGGTGGGGACACGGGATCTGCGAAGCGCCAAGAATTTGGCACGTGACGACAGGTGACTACACGTGCCCCGTGCGCACGCGCCATGCGCATGTTGGGTCCCCCTCCTCTCCGCGCACGTACATGTACGTGTGAAGAATCCGGCGGGCCTAATTTTGGTCCCCCCCCTTGGGGGCCTTGGACATGCAAGTAAAAAGACATGCTCCGCGCGCGCGGTCTTGGCGCATGTCGGGTCCCCAGTTCGAGCGCGCATTTTCACGTGTAAAGATTCCGGCGGGCCCAAGTTGGGTCTCCACTCGGGGGCCGTGGACGAGTGAAAACACGTGCCCCGCGCGCACGCGCCAGACGAATGTTGGGTCCCCCCCCTCCGCGCGCGTACTCTCACGTGTGAAGAATCTGGCGGGCCCAAGTTGAGCCCCTCGCTGGCGGCCGTGGGCGCGTGAAAATACGTGCCCCGCGCGCACGCGCCAGGCGCATGTTGGGTCCCCCCCCGCGCCCAAGTTGGGTGCCCCCATGGGTGCCGTGGACACGTGGCCACATGTGCCCCGCGCGCACGCGCCAAACGCATGTTGGATCCCCCCCTCCGCGCACGTACCTTTCTGCACGTACCTTTCTGGAGGCCGTGAACACGTGAAAACATCTGGCGGGTTTGCGTTGGGCCCTTCGCTTGGAGTTTGTGAACATGTGAACATGCGTGCCCCGCGCGCACGCGCCAGGCGCATGTTGGGCCCCCCCCCGCGATCAAGTTGGGTGCCCCCCTGGGGGCCGTGGATGAAAATGTGTGCCCCGCGCGCACGCGCCAGGCGAATGTTGGGCCCCCTTTCTTCCGTGCGCGTGTCTTTATAAGGGGGCCTCTTGCGGCCCCATCGCGGCCAGAAGCACGTGAAAACCCGGGCCGAACGCACGCGTGCCAAGACTCTTGTTGGAGACCCCCCCTCCGCACACGTATTACTACGCGTCCAATTCCAGCGCTGCTGGTCGACACCCTTCTGGTTGAGGGCCGTTGGCCCGCAAACTACAAGAGCCCTGGGCCGGAGTCCCCCCCGCGGTCAAGTTGGGTCCCCCCTCTTGGGGCCGTGGACACGTGAAAATAAATGTCCCGCGCACGCGTCAGGCGCATGTTCGGTCCCCTCCCCTGCGCGCGCGTATTTTGATCGGGGCCGTGGACACGTGAAACTACGTGCCCCGAGCGCGCACGCCAGGCGCATGTTGGGTCCCCACCACCTGCGCACGTATTTCCACGTGTGAAGAGGCCGGCGGCCTGAGGTGGGTCCCTCGCTGAGGGCGTGGACATGCGACAATGCGTGCCCCGCGCGCGCCACGCGCATGTTGGATCCCCCCTCCGTGCGCGCGCGTAAAGACTCCGACGCGCCGTGGACGCGTGGAAAGAAGTGCCCCGCGCACGCGCCAGGCGCGTGTTTGGTCCCCCCGCTTCCGCGCACGTATTTTCATCGGAGCCGTGGACAGGCGGAAGTACGTGCCCCGCGCGCACGCGCCAGGCTCATGCTGGGTCCCCCTCTCCGCGTATGTATTTTTACTCCTGTTCCGGCGGCCCCGTCGCGGCCAGTAACACGTAAAAGCACATGCCGAACGCACGCGTGCTGAGACTGATGTTCGAGATCCCCCTCCCCTCCGCACACATACTTTTTTACGTGTCCAATTCTGGCGCCGCTGCTCGACATCCTTCTGGTGGAGGGCCTGTGGCCCGCAAACTAAAGGAGAGAACCCTGGGCCGGAGTCCCTGCCAGGGAGCATCTCCTGGGAGTGAGGAGGCCCAGGACTGGGAGTCAAATCGCGCCAGAGCGTTCCGGAACGCTCTCAGCGCGTTCCGGATCGCTCTGGGGCGGCCGCGGGGCGCGGGACATCCTCCAGCGCCGCCGGGAGGGCAGGCACCCCGGTGCTCGACGCCTGTCGGCACCACCCAGACATGCTCATACTGTCTGGGCGTCGGCCACGCCACGGCGACGCGCAGGCTCGGAAATCTCACAGCATGAGCTCCGCGGCGGGCGCTCTCTGGCCATGCCGCTCGGGAAAGGATGCACTGCAAGATGCTGTGCGATGTGTTCGGGTCGGACTTGCGTCTCCGACAGAGGCACACAGCACTAGCGTTCACCACCCACCAAACCACCCCAACCCAACCCGAAGGCCCAATTTTGTCCTGCATTCCCAGTGAGGGGGGGGCGTCGGGGCACATGGAAAGAACACATGTGGAACCCGTAACCCCTCCCCAACCCGAAGTTTGGGTCTTCGCGTTTCAGTTGGGGTGGTCTGGCAGGCAGTGAGTCGTAGCATGTCCCTGTGCGTCCCAGCCTGCTGCCCTCTCCTGGGAGGGCGGAGGCCGATCGGGTGTTGCCAGAGGCGCCCCTGGCCCAGAGGTGCCCCCAGAGGCGCGTCGGATCGGGGCGCATCGGCACAGCGTCGGAATCGAATTGGATCGGCCGCGCCAGGATGCACGACAGCGCCTCGCAAGCATTGGGCCGCATCGGATCGCCCGAATATCGGGATCGGATCGGATCGAGCCGGCCGGAGTCGTCATCGAATCGGATCGATCGGCCCAGAGGTTCCCGGGGAGGCAGCCACGGCCTCCAGAGGCACCGCTCGCTGGACCAAGGGGGTCCCAGTGGTCCCAAAAGGGGCAACCCCCGAGAGGAGGAGGCGGAGGAGGAGGAGGAGGAGGAATCTGAGGAGGAGTCTGACGAGGACGAGGAGGAGGAGGAGGAGGAGGAGGAGGCTGAGGATGAAGGAGGAGAAGGAGGATGAAGGAGGAGGAGGAGGAGAAGGAGGAGAGAGGAGGAGGAGGAGGAGGAGGAGGAGGAGGAAGGAGGAGAGGAGGAGGAGGAGGAGGAGGAGGAGGAGAGGAGGAGGAGGAGGAGGAGGAGGAGGAGGAGGAGGAGGAGGAGGAGGAGGAGGGAGGAGGAGGAGGAGAGGAGGAGGAGGAGAGGGAGAGTGAGGAGGAGGAGAGGAGGAGGAGGAGGGAGGAGGAGGAGGGGAGAGGAGGAGGAGAGGAGGATGAGGAGGAGGAGGAGGAGGAGGAGGAGGAGGAGGAGGAGGAGGAGGAGAGGAGGAGGAGGGAGGAGGAGGAGGAGGAGGAGGAGGGAGGAGGAGGAGGAGGAGGAGGAGGAGGAGGAGGAGGAGATCAGGTCAGGCCAGGTCAGGCATTCCTCGAAAGCTCCTCGTGAGAAGGCTACCGGGGGGGGTGAGGCACATACGCCACAGCCCAGATGAGGATGAGGAGGAGGAGGAAGAGGAGGTGGAGAAGGAGGTGGAGAAGGAGGAGGAGGAGGAGGAGGGCAGGATCAGCAGTGAGTTTCGGGCCTCGGACGAGGAGGTCGTGATAGACCTGCTGGCGGATCGCCGACAGCGCGTTGCGGTGCACGATGGCGCCGACGGCCTGGTGCTGGAGGGCCTCACGCGGGAGAGGGTTGACACCGAGAGCGACGCTTACCAGCTGCTCTTCAGGGGGGACTCGAACCGCCACTTCGAGCGCCTGCCGCTGAATCCCGAGACGTCCAGGGGCCACGTCTTCTTCGAGGTGAGGCCTCGCCCCGCCCTCTCCCTGCGGTATGCCTGCGTCGTATCGGCTCGGCGACGACCGCACCGCGGGCGTGCAAGGCTGAACGCTGCGAGGGGCCGTTCATTCAGGCGGCGGCGGCGGCGGCGACGACGACGACCTTGAGCGATCTGCGCTTTCGGAGAGCCCCGATCGTTCGAGGAGGTGTGTCAGAAAGGAACGCTCAATTCGTCACGGCACGAGCCTGCCGTGCCCCTCATTGCGTCCACTGCTGCTGCTGCGCCTCCTCCCTCTGCCTGCTCCCGCCTCCCGCCTTCCTCCTCCCTCCTTCCTGGCGCTCCGCCTCCCTCCTCCCTCCTCCCTTCTTCCTCCTCCACCTCCATCGTCCTCGAGCTTGCTTTCGGCGTAGCCCGACCGTTTTTCGGGACTGGACTGACGTGGTCGCACCCATGAAGCAGGTCGATTTGGGTTTTCGGTGGCCGAGGGCGCAACCTACGGTGCAAACAAAAGCAGGCCGTGTGAAATGGCGCAATCAATAGCAGGCTGCCTGAAGTTCCAGCGACCCAGCGTGCGACCTGTGGCGGAGACCATGTTTCAACCCATGGCGCAACAAGTAGCGGTGCATCCTGATGCACAATTTGTGGTACAATCTTTGTTTGTCACAGCCTCCGCAGATGGCACAACCTATGGCGCAACCCATGGTGCAACATACCTCGGTACAACCTATGGCGCAACCAAACCTGTGGCACAAACTGTGGCACAACCCAGGGTAATCATGTTCCTTCACGGCTTTTGCGGGACTGCTCACGATTTTTATGCTAGCTGCTTGGGCTACGGGTCGGCCAGGTTTGAGTGGCGAACTGCCTTACCTGCCTGCGCTGACGATAGCGCACCTTATCGTCGCCCTTACGCCCAAGAAGCGTGTCGCCCCCTCGCAGGGCCACTAGACCATGTCTTCCTCCTCTTCACAACCCTCCAGAGGTTCCTGGAGCCCTTCAGACGCCCTTCAGATCCTTCGAAATCGATCGCTGGCATACTTGGTCTATGTGTGCGTCGCTTCCGCAGGGGCGACGCGCGCACTGAAACTTCTGGTAGTAGAAGCACAGTGGCGGGCGCTTTCTGTCCCCACCGCTTGGGTACCGATATGTTTTACGATGTGTCAGCTACGTGTTGTTCCAGTCGGACGTACGCCTCCCAAAACGCGAAGAGTTTTAGCTTCTGCGCCCCATTGATGCTTATGTCAAGCCTAAAGCGCTCATTCCTCCTCCCTCCCCACTCCCTCCTCCATCCTCGAGGTGCATCTGGTCCACTCGCCCACCGCGCGATGTGCATCGTTGACCTTCGCGGACCTCGCTGCTGGCGTCTCTCTCCAGAACCAGGAGGGTTACCAGGAGGAGGATGCGGATGCGGATGCGGATGCGGCTGTGGATGCGGATGCGGATGCGGATCGGATGCGGAGGAGGATTAGGAGGAGGAGGAGGAGTAGGAGGAGGAGGAGGAGGAGGAGTAGGAGGAGGAGGATGAGGAGGATGATGATGAGGAGGAGGAGGAGGAGGATGAGGAGGAGGAGGGCCAGGCCACGCTGGCCATCGCCAAGGGCCTGGACGCACTGCGGGCTGTTGCCGAGGCGCTCAGCGCAGGCCGCGGGCGACCGCAGACACGCTCCACCTTCCGCCCTCTTCCTTCTTCTCCTTGGACAGGAGGGGGGACGGCGAAGCGGGGAGGGGGAGGGAGGAGGGAGGGGAGCAGGGAGTATGGGGAGGGAGATGAGAAGGAGAAGAGAGAGAGAGAGAGAGAGTGAGTGAGTGAGTGAGTGAGTGAGTGGGTGTGTGAGTGGGTGGGTGGGTGAGTGTTAGGAGGGGGAGGTCTACTACTCGAAAGCCTCCTCGCTGAGGCTACGAGCCCTTCTACGACGCCTCCGTCCTGACTCAGCTGCTCCGGCCATGGCTGCAGCCGTGCACTGGTGTCCCGCAGTCGACGGTCACGCTGATCAGCCAGGTCAGATCGAGGCGTGCATCTGCCAGAGGAGGGGGAGGAGGGAGGGGGGGGCTGCACCTCCTTGGGGGGTCCGAGGAAATCCTGGAGGTCTTGAGGGGTCTGGAAAGGGGGGTGACGGAGGGGGGAAGCAGATGATGATGGTTGTGGTGATGATGATGATGATGATGATGATGATGATGATGATGCTGATGAGAATTATGATGATGGTGATGACGATGCCGATGCTGATGCTGATGATGATGATTATGATGATGCTGCTGCTGATGATGATGATCAGGATGATGCTGATGATGCTGATTATGAATATGATGATGACGACAGTGATGCTGATTCAGATGATAATGATGCTGCTGATGATGATGACGAGGAGAAGGAGGAGGAGGAGGACGACGACGACGGTGACGACGACGGCGACGCCGA